CCCTTGACCTAACAGATCTGTGGAGTAGCACAGTGATCCCCAACCTTTCTTATGCCGCGGCCCGGTATCACCAACCTTTTTTATGGCGCGGCCCGGTACCGGCATTAGCTGGGCGCCGCCATCTTTTTTTGATGAAAAAGTGCTTCCAGTGAGCTTTCTACCCGGAAAAGCTCACCGGAAGCACTTTTTCATCAAAAAAAGATGGCGGCGCCCAGCAAACCAGCGGCCCGGTAGGACTTGTTCCGCGGACCGGTGGTTGGGGACCCCTGGAGTAGCAGACTGGAATAGCTAAATCTATCCATTGGCAAGTTTGACTTAGTCCCTCCTTTTTTTTTTTTTTTTTCTGGTGTCCGTTTTGCCTCTAACTCCTTTCTGGTTTCCTGTTTTCTTTTTCCAAGGATGCAATTCAACGCTAAGGCTTTCCACTTGCCTTTGTGCATTCGAAAAGAAAAGAAAACATCTTAATCAAGAAGATAATAGCATGTGGATAAGGGTTCTGTTTCTTATAGCAACACAACTTCCTTCCTCTCCATGCAACATTTCCAGTTTCTACACATTAACCTTTTCAACTTCCTGGCATCTTCGAGCTAAGAGCAAAATACAGGGTGTTATAATAGTTCCAGTCCATTTTATCACCATTTAAAGGAGTCATGAATTCTTGACTCATGAATGAAACAAATGGTTTAGTTTACGTTGTCTCATAGGTGTTTTTTTCTTCTTCAAAAGGCAACTGGGTTGTTGTTGTTTTTCCCCTGAGAAAGAAGAAGAAAACATATCACTTCTCATCCAAGAAGCTTCATCAGTTGTGATTGCTGTGTGTATGTGTGTGTGTGTGTGTGTGTGTGTGTGTGTGTGTACTGAGAGTTGAGACTGGATGGTACGGGGATAGAAGTATAGCTTCTGATAGGGTTGTGGACGATGGAAGGGTTGTATTTCTATGCAGTCATCTGGTCATTAATACTCTCCCTGGGAGCAGAGTAGAGTAGAGTAGAGTAGAGTAGAGTAGAGTAGAGTAGAGTAGAGTAGAGTAGAGTAG